CTAGAAATGATCCATTTTCTCCAACCTACAATCCAGGTTGGAGAAATCATCCCAACTTTGCATGGAATCTAGGAAATTCTCCCGGAACTCAAAATTTCACTCCCGCTTCGACCCAACATTTTCCTAGGGGAAACACAGTTCCATTCAATTCTCATTCACAATTTCAACAACCCAATCTGCCGTATCAAAATCAGTCTCCTCTTCATCAAGCTGTAATTCAGACTCCTCACAATCCAGATCAGGATAAACGTCTCAATGTCTTGGAAAGGGGTTTAGAAACCATAATTAAGGCCTCTACTCAAACCACGAATATGTTGACTCAAACATCTAGCACGTTGAATTCCTTCATGCAATCAACCGGACAAATGCTCAACTCCAACACTCAAGCTATAGCTAGATTAGAATCCCAACTTGGTCAACTAGCTAGTGCCGTGAGTGAAAGAGAGAAAGGAAAATTTCCGAGTCAACCCGTGGTCAACCCTAATAACACAGGATGCAGTTCATCCTATGAAGCTCAAGTGAATGCAATCCATTCACTTCGGTCAGGTAGACAGGTCGATAATCAAGTGAGAACTCCGCCAAGTCAAACTCTTGATCCTGTACAAATTCCTTCTCCTTCTCCTTCTGATGAATCTATTCAACAATCACTCCCCTCAGATGACCAAGAACCTGAACCCGAACCTGAGCCTGCTTTTGATAGATTTAGACCGGTTGCTCCCTTTCCAGATAGACTCAGGTCTAGGAAACACTCTCCTCAGGAGGAGAAAATCCTAGAGACATTCAAGCAGGTTAAGGTCAACATTCCTCTCTTAGATGTAATTGAACAAATTCCATCTTATGCTAAATTTTTAAAAGAATTGTGCACTAAGAAGAGGAGAATAAATGTTCCAAAGAAAGTCTTTTTAGCCGCCAATATCAGTGAAATGCTGTCAAATCCCATACCTTTGAAACGTAAAGATCCAGGTTCCCCCATCATTTCATGTATCATTGGTAATACTCACATTGATAAGGCGCTTTTAGACTTAGGGGCCAGTGTCAATTTGCTTCCATATTCAGTCTATCAGCAATTGGGTCTAGGTGTACTGAACCCAACCAAATGCACCTTACAGTTGGCTGATAGATCTGTCAAGGTCCCTATGGGTGAGTTAGAGGATGTTCTGATTAAAGTTGGAGACTTTATTTTTCCAGTAGATTTTGTAGTTTTGGAAACACAGCCTGTTTCCAATCCCAAAGGACAGACACCTGTCATCTTAGGACGACCGTTCTTAGCCACTTCTAATGCTCTCATCAACTGTAGAACTGGTCAAATGAAGCTGTCCTTTGGGAATTTGACTGCTGATCTCAACATTTTTAATCCAGGGGACCAACCAAATAATCAGCCTCTAGAAATAAACTACATTCAGGAAAGATCAGAAGAAGAAGAAGAAGAAGAGTGTGATTTAAGTTTTGAGGAAATTTTTGATGAAGAGTTAGAGTTTTTAGAAGAAGCAGATCAGGTCCTTGAGAATAATAAAACTGTGTTAAACATTTGCTGCTTTGAATTAAATTTTGAAGAACTCTTTCTTGATGAACTTAGATTCTTGGAGAATAATCAACAACCAAATTTTCAGAACTTCACGGAAGAATTGGTTGTTAGAAAACAAAACTTCACAGTACAAGAGTCTAAGTTCATTAAGAAATACAAAATGCATGACACCAATAATACCTACCTTACCTTGTTGCATGAATTACTAAACACCCCGAAATGCTTGGAAATTCACATTATTAATTATATCATTCTGAATTTGTTTAAAATCCGGGGAAGAATTTTCAACAGTAAGGTAGGAGTCAATGTAGAATAGGACCTCTTCATGTTGAATATTTCATTCTACATTGTTTATTTCAGAATAATAAAAAGAATTTATTCTTCTCTCATGTGAGAGTTTCTTATTCAGTTTTCAAAAAAAAAAAGAAAAAAAAAGAAGAAGAAAAAAAAAGAAGAAAAAAAAAAGAAAAAAAGAGAAAAAAAAGAATAAAATTTTGTTTTCATCCTCCTCAGACCAAAGGTAATTACAGATTTTTATCAGCCGACCAAATGTAAGTGCTTCACTTCTTATCTGCTTTACTTTATGCATCATAGAGTTTGCATTGAGGACAATGCAAAATTTAGGTGTGGGGGTGGGAATTAGTTATTTTTTTCTCTTCATTTTACAATTTTAGTGCATTTTTGTTATTTTTTTCTTTTCCTTAAAACATTTTTTCCCCTTTTTCTTTAAAAAAAAATTATAAAAATATCGTCACTTGCCAAATTGATAGAGTTATGTAATAATTGATTGGTTTGATAAATTTGAAATTTTCTAATCCCTAGTTGGTTATTTACTTAAGTTCACCTTTTATGATAACTCTAAATAAATTTCTTAAGAAATGATTTTTAAAGTAGTATACTTTACTTAAGCCTTAACTTGGACTTTTATTTAAAATAATGAAATTTTTGCATGCTTAGCTTAAAGTTAAAAATAATTTTTCAAAGTGTCTTGATTTACATATTTTCAAAATATATATACATATACAAAAAAATAATAATAATAATAATAATAATAAAAAAAAACTCTTGAATTCAATGTGATTCTATCTTATAAAGCCTAAGCTGATCGAGTAATTAAGCCCAAGGAGTATTTCCATACTTAATGACCTAAGCCCATTTGGGTTGGGATCCATTGGCCCAAAACTCGTTAAATGGTCACTTAGAAAGCCCGTTAAAGTAGAAAAAAATAACCAAGAAAGAAAGAGTTAAAAAAAATAAAAAAAATAAAAATAAAAAAACTAATAAATGTTTTATAATTGTATATATGGTCTTGGAAAATATTTTAAATCAAGCAACTTGAAAATTATTTAAAACAAAGAGTTAGCATGTTCTTTTCAAAACTTTTAAATTAAATTTCTAAGTCTGGCTTAGTTTTGTATTGCTACAATGAGAAGATTTTCTTAAAAATATACCTTAGAGTTATATATAAAAATGTTTTCTTGAGTGATAACTGGCTCCAATTAGATTATCTAAAAGTTATCAAGTGAATTTAGTTATTTACTGACTTCTTTAATTTGGCAAGTTGACCGAATTTTGTGGGTATATTCACTGCAAACCCTCACGAGACTACAACTCGTCCACTAGGGTAACCTAGGGGTTTAAAGGCTTGTTGTATGCGCTAAATACAACCGCGATTCCTGCGAAAGTGAGTTAGGATTTTCTTTTTATTTTCTTTGCTAGAGGACTAGCAAAAGTTTAGGTGTGGGGGTATTTGATAATCACATTTTATTACAGTTTTATACCCTCATTATCTATTTTATATGAATAAATATACCACTAATAACTGTTTTTATGTTTAATTGCAGGTTAATGAAGAATAAATCTCAAATTCCCATCTCTCAACAAAAAGCCCATGATTAAATGAAGAAATGAAGCCAATTGGAAAATCAATTTCCAAATTATCCAAAAGCCCAAGCTAAGAAAAAGAAGAAAAGCCCAAGAAATGCCAAAGCCCAAAATAAATACATGAAGAAATCAAGAAGCCCAAAAGCCCAAGCAAAAGCCCAAAATCCAAGTCCAAAAGCCAATAGAAGAGGAACTCTGCGGACAGCAAAAGGAGAAGGGCAGGCATCGATGCCTGCATCGATGGCGGCATCGATGCCTGCATCGATACCGACATCGATGCCTGCATCGATGCCTGTATCGATGCCTGCATCGATACGCTGGGCAGTCTGTTACGAATCTAAGGCTGAAATTTGTTGTTTTTGGATAAGATTTCAATCCAATGGCTCTCATTCACTGATGTTTACTATAAATAGGGGTAGAGAGTGAGGGGTTAGAGGTGTGAAAATTTTGTAAACTCCTTTTGGAGAGGAGGGCTACTCTTAATTGAGAAGGCCTTCCAAAAATTGTAACTTTAGTTGCAATTAATAATAATAATTTTTTCACCACTTTAAATATTTCTTCTCTTTGTTGGATGATGAAGATGGAGATGAAGAATTATTTAGAGGTTTGCATTTTCTTTCCTTTTTCTCTTTTATTTCCTTTTTATTGCTTATTAGTGTAGATTTATTTCTATGCTTGTAGTTTAGATTTTATTTTCTTGTTAAATAGCCAAGAGGCTAGAACCCTCTTGCCTTAGATTTATTTCATGCTTATAGAATAGATTTAATTTCTTGCATTTAATTCTTGCAATTTTATTTTGTAGTTTAGATTTTGCACTTTATTTTGTAGTTAGATTTTAATTTCTTATACTATTCACCTTGAGGCTAGAACCCTCTTGGGTTTAGTTTTTCTTTTTGTTTATTTTTATTTTGTTTGATTCGCCTTTAGGCTAGAACCCTCTAGGGAATCATCCTTTTCTAAGAAGTGGGTTCAATTGTAGATTACCCATATCTATAATTGAATCCACCATCTTTAATTTCTTGCATTTTCTTTTATTCTTGAATTTTATTTTCTTTATTCTTGATTTTTATTTTCCTTTTCCTTCTTGCCTTATTGATCATATTCATTCTTTGTCACATCCACTCTCACTTATATCTCGTGCCGATTTACACACTATCATTTCCACTCTCTCTATCTCTCCACAATCACATTCACTTATCACTCCTACTTGTCACACACACAACATAAGAACCGATTTTATATTTTCTCCTACAAAACACCTTCCTCGTGGGATCGATATCTTAAATACTATAACTTGACACGGTTGTGCACTTGCAACCTTTTTGGTACATGTTTATGCCGCATCAATTTAGGGCCTGAACACATTTTTCCCTAAAAATTTTGAGTATCAAAATGTTAGAAAAGAAATACTTTTGTGGTACAAACATTGGCCGTACCAAAGTGAAATCACACCCCAAATTAGTCCCACAACTTTGCTGTCGAGAATAGGGATAGGGTTCAAATATGACCCGAAACCCGACCCGACCCGACCCGAAGCGACACAAAAGAACAAAGAAGTTCCATCGCTCGATAGTCCTCCTCTTCTGTCTTATCTCGATTCTCCCCCTCTCTTTCCTTTTCTTTTTCTTTTTTGTTTTCCCTCGAAGAAAGAATAAAAAAATTAAAAAAAAAAATTCTCCCCTCTCATGATTTCTCTCCTCGTTTTCCCTCTCATAATCATGGATGTATTATTTTCTCCTACTATTGAACGAAGTTATCTGGATGCAAGAAGTGGCGATTTCAATTGGGTCTGCTTCTAATTGGGTATTGCGCTAAACCCTACAATCAAAATCCCTTTTTGATCTTTCTTGCCGTTGTTTATCGTTATAATTTATTCATTAATAAGCCCCTTGTTCCTTATTGTACCGGGTTGTGATGTTTTCTGGGTTTTACCCTTTTGCTTCTTCGTCTTGAATCAGTCAAATTGAGTGGGGATGTGTTTTGTCCCAATCCGCATAGAGAATTTAGTTAGGGTTTGTTCGGGGATTTTTCTCTTGGGTTCACAAGTTTGACCCTAAATTTGTTGGGCTGTAGCTTGGTTAGAGATTTATCGTAGCTACAATAAGCCGAGGTGGCTATTATCCTTATGCTACCATTAGATGGAGTTCATTCATGTATTTTTACCGTCGAGTAATTTTGATCGAGGTTCATTTATATGAGCTCATACTTCTTTCATCTCTAGTCTTTAGACGTAATATTTTTTATCATACACATCCACTATGTTTGCTTGTTCCCGCTATCTTCCGGATATTTTGAATGTATTGTAGTGCAATATGTTGCCTGTGCTATAGAATACCCCCAAACGTGACAAGCTATGCCTTGATCAAAATACAGTGTGGATCTTCACCCATTGTAATCTAGTCCTCTTACGAAATTTCTTTTTTATCTCTAGATTTTTTTTTGTGTGCAAGTGAAGTGATCCAATATAGCAGAACCAAATAAGTTGTGGCCGTTTTGCGATTAATTTTGATTTAACTTTTATGTTTCTTGCACCATATAATTTATTCCAACTGTTAGAATTTGTTCTAGTTTAGCAGCTTGTTCTGACTAAGGATTTTCCTTCTCATTTGATGTGTTCTTGTTTTCTGCTCTTTGATTCCTCATCATGGACACTATCCTTCAATTCTATTCTTTTTGGTCGTAAGATTTTAATATTGTTAACCTGAATGCCTTGACCATAGTATTGCTGAATTAGAAAAGGATCAAACTTTGCAGTAGATTTTTCCTGAAAAGTTTTTCCTTGTATGTAGTAATCTTTTGCTTATCGTTTATTTGTTGGGTATTGAATTCTATACTTTCGCTTTGTTTTTCAGATTAACTGAAGATGAAGAATTTAAAAGAGTGGTTTTCCTATGAGCTATTGTCTAAATCATTACTATCTGCAAGGCCTTTCAGCTTCTTTTATGAGGAATCACTGGATGGTGAACTTGGCAACTAAATCATTACTATCTGCAAGGCCTTTCAGCTTCTTTTATGAGGAATCACTGGATGGTGAACTTGGCAATCGAGGTTCGGCCTTATTTTATGCTGTATTAAGTCAAATAATCCTTTTGCTGTTAGATTTTCAAACTACTTGAACTGAGTGTCACATGCCTTTTGCTCAAAGTTCAAGCATATTAACAATGCATGCAACTCTTTTTCCCCTTGACAAAAGTAAGAAACTTGTATTAATCAAACGGCCTTTACCAATGACACCCAGGCATCCCAGGTTTGCAGAAATAACAGTCACCTCATATTCTATATCTATTAACGTACAACTTTAAAGAATCTAAAAACACCATAGCTCCCTTTTACCAAAACCCACAACCCAATGCTTATTAGTTGCCTTGGAGGTGTCAGCACTTACCTTTATAATCCATTTAAGTTAACATGTACATATATATTTTCTTGTTTCATTATTACACAGCTAATCATGGTACTTTTTATAAAAATAAAATAAAATAAAATAAGGGTTTATGGTATATCTCCAAATATCTCTACCCCAGTTTGACATGCCTGTCTTATTGACCACTGAAAGATTTATTGTAGCTGATAGTATAAGCACTTGCCGTAAAGCATGTTGATATTGCTAGTTCCACTGATATTTCTTTTAAGAGTTCAACCTAAATAATAACTATAGTTTTCATCTAACAGGAATAGAAAAATCAGAGGAAGACAGATGCTATTTTGTTTTCCTCCAACCAATTTGTATTTAATGAAATTTCCAACTTTTCCCAGGTACAACAGTGACAAGAATGTCAGAAACATCAACAACTGCTCATTATCGTGACACCCAACAAAACATACTTCGACCTGAGCCTATCGCAACTGAAGGCTCAGATCTAGCTCAATATATCAATATTGACAGTAACACAGATACATTAACCCGACTCGAGGCGCTCCAAATCAACTTCTTGCGTTTGATTCATAGGATTGGACAATCTCCAGCAAATCCTGTGGCATCTCAGGTCCTATACCGATTGCAACTGGCAAGCTTGATACGAGCTGGTGAAACCAACGTAAAAAGACCTGCACTCAAGTTAGATAGAGCTAGAGTAATAGCCTCAAAGCTCGAGGCAGATGGGCAATCGGATCTTGACTTCTCCTTCAAAATCCTGATCCTTGGAAAGACGGGTGTTGGCAAGAGTGCAACCATAAACTCCATATTTGATCAATCAATGGCTCCAACTGATGCATTCCAACCTGCAACCCACCAGATTCAGGAGGTTACTGGAACTATAAAAGGAATTAAAGTTACAGTAATTGATACTCCAGGCCTTTCTTCTTTCCTTCATAACCAACGAGAGAATAGAAAAATCTTGTTTCAAGTGAAAAAGTTAATCAGAAGATCACCGCCTGATGTTGTACTCTATTTGGACCGGTTAGATACTGTTAAGCGGGGAGACAGTGATTGCCGGCTACTGAAGCTAATAACTGATGTCTTTGGTGCTTCAATTTGGTGCAATGCTATTATTGGCATGACCCATTGTTCATCATCTCCTCCAGAAGGGCCTGATGGTTATACTGTGAGTTATGAATCATATATTGATTATTGCACAAACTTATTACAGCATTACATACATCAAGCCATAGAAAGTACTCAGCTTCAGAATCCAACACTTTTAATAGAAAACCATCCTATGTGTCAAAAAAATGCTAAAGGTGAAAAAATTCTGCCCAATGGCCAAGTTTGGATGTCTCAGTTGTTACTATTGTGCACAGCTACCAAGGTTTTGGGGGATGCAAATAACATCCTTAGATTCCAAGACAGCTTTCAAGTGACAAAGAAAAAGACTAGACTGCCTTCGCTCCCTCATCTGCTCTCCTCACTTCTCCATCCAAGAAATTCTTTGGAAGATGAACCCGGTGAGCTTTTCAATGATATTGAGGATGATGAATATGACCAATTGCCACTGATTCGTATTCTGACAAAATCCCAGTATAAAAAACTGTCTAAAGAACAGAGAAAGGCCTACCTTGATGAACTCGAGTATCGTGAAACACTATATTTGAAGAAACAGTGGAATGATGAGATCCGAAGGAGAAAAGAGAACAATTGTGATGATTATGAAGATGATGCTTCTCAGGAGTTAGTGCAGTTGCCCGATATTGCTCTCCCATTAAATTTTGACCCTGATTGCCCCGCTCATAGATACCGATGCCTGATGAGTACTGACAATCAGTGGCTTATAAGGCCAGTCCTTAATTCCCAAGGCTGGGATCACGATATCGGGTTTGATGGGATCAACCTCGAAACTACCCAAGATTTAAAACAGAATCTCAAAGCTTCATTTATGGGACAAATAAATAAAGATAAGGAAGAGTTCAACATCCAATCGCAATGTGCAACACAATACTCTGATCAAAAGGGACGATCAATAATCACTGCCATTGACATACAGAGTACAGACGACAATTTGGTTTGTACCATTCACGGGGATGCGAAGTTCAAGAACTTGGGGTGTAACTCATCAGGAGGTGGACTTACACTAACTTCCTTTGCAAAATCTTGCTTCATTGGAGGAAAGATTGAAGACTCGGTTTCAATCGGGAGGAGGTTTAAGCTCGTGCTGAATGCTGGAAGAGTAGTTGGTAATGGCCAAGTAGCTAATGGTGGGAGTTTGGAGGCAACTATGAGAGGTAGAGACTACCCAGTGAGAGATGAGAAAGTGAAGCTCTCTGCATCGGTTCTTTCGTTTGACAAGGAAGTTGTTTTTGGGGGGAGTCTGGAAACCGACTTCCGGGTGAACCCAAGTGGGAAGATGTCGGTTAATGCCAACCTAAACAGTAGGAGTTTGGGTCAGGTTTGTTTGAAGTTCAACACATCAGAACATACTGAGATAGGGTTGATAGCAGTTGTTTCTTTGCTTCAGACTTTGTTTTGTCGTAGGAGGAGCTCTGACGCTAGTTGATGGTTTCCGATGTTTGGAGATTTTTTTCATTCCCAGTTGGTAAGGGAAAGTGGGTTAGTGCTGATCATTGTATAGATGAGGGTAGGCAAAATAGGAGTTGAGCCATAGTACAATTGATAGTATCCAAGTTGCGGATACTGTAATCCAATTCTGAAATTTGGATTTTGGAATTGAAAATTTGTACCGTTGGATGTCTGACTACCTAGAAATAAATTTCCCAATGATCTTGATGTGTTTTCAATCAGATATCAAGGGGTTTAAAAAAAATGATGTTATGAAAATTCGGAGCTGTTGGTTTTGGCAGCATGAGACGCATGGCCATAGCGCGTTGAAGTCATTTGAGAGTCCATTCCTAAGCGGATGGTTCGTAGTTTGTCACATTCAAGGTACAGATTTTTAATTTCGATTCCTAGTTTTTAAGTTTGGATCTTATAGTATTTGCATCTGGGATACTATTAGTTGTTATCGACGTGGATACATGGATAGAAGGGTTTGTTACATTAATCACGGATGAGATATTGTTCTTGATTTTTTCAGGGAAGTTAAATATTTTACATTAATCGTTAGCGTATTTTTTTTTCGATATGTATTTCTGAGGCTCAAAGGTACCCATTAACATGTTGATGGTAAGTGCAGGGAGATTGCGGTGTAGTAGGGTGGAAGGAGACATGAAGGTTGGTGACGGTTGACCTGTCAACGTATTGATTTCCATTACTTGTCATCGACGCTAATTTTCTTTACCTTCTAATTCCTTTTGTTTTCTTGATCCTGATTCCTGAGCTATCAAGCTTGCCGTTTGTTTGGTGCAGAGTCATGCATCTCACGCGAGGATATGTTTTTGGTACCGTGAACTCTTTTTTCGGTCTTTATTATTATTATTTTTTTATGTTGCCATCAAGGTGGTATGTGTTTCATTTGCAGATTGATATTTGTCAATTATAGAAATGAATTTTTTGTGTCTCGAATAGAAAAAATAGTTAGGAATGGCTATATGAAACTTGTGTATATGAACAATGCTAAAGGGATGTGATATGTGAAGATAAAGAAGGAAAAAAGAAGCAATGAAGATGGTCAATTGATGGCTATGAAAGAAAAGTCAGATAAAAAAATATGATGAGAACTTTAATATGAAATTTTGCCATATGCATGAGCACATTGGATATAGTTGCTTCCTGTGAAAGGTAGTGTATTGTAAATAATTTTTTAATGCTATTTGATTCAACTTTTAAACCAAAAGTTGAATCTATTTGACAAAGTAGAACTCCCAACTTCTGATATTTGCGTGTTAAAAGAAGAAGAAGAAGGAGAAGAACTCTACTATCCATGAAGAAGAAGAAGAAGACTATTCGTGAGGAAACGAGAAAATCTTTTCTTAGAGGGTGTTTTCTATATTAGTCCCTTAGCTATCACTATTTTGATGTTAAGTCCCCCAAATCAGTCTTTCAAATGCATTAGTATGTTGATATTAGTCCCTCTGTTTTTATTTCCATTGAAAACCCTCAACCATGGTTAGGTTACAACTAAGCATGATTGGTAAATTACCAAAATACCCACCTCCATTTAATATGCCAACTAAATCTCCAACCAAAATACCCACCTCCATTTAATATGCCAACTAAATCCTCAACCATGAGTTCGGGTTTAAGAGTTTTATTGGGTTTAAGGGGCTGTTTGGTTCGTTTTCTAGATATAGAGAAATGCATTTTCATGTACAAAAATACAAGTTTTGAGTTTTCTAAATTTTTTCAAGAAATATATTGTTTCGCTTTGGTTCGCACAAAAAAAAAATGGTGGGAAACCAATGTATTTATTTTTCTTGTATTTGGTTCGCATGGAAAAAAAGGAAAATTTTTTGTTTATATGGCAAAAAGCCGACGTGGCTGCAGTTTTCGTTGATTTCACGAGGTTGAGGGAGGAATTGAAGGAGAGAAAAAAAATCTGATGTGACGGCGATTTTCACCGAGTTTCCCTTCTTCAACCCTAGCGAACCAAAGATGGGAAAAAAACCGATGGAAAGCTTATATCCTACGTGGCCACGAAAAATCTGATGTGCAAATAGTGTAAAACTTTTCCACCGAGTTAAAAAACGAACCAAACAACCCCTAAGTTTAATAGTCAAGTGAATTTGGGTATTGTGTCTAAAGGGTATAACAGTCTTTTCGAGTAAAAAAAGTTAAACCTTAGCAGAATATTTCCCTTCAATTATAACTCCATGCAACTACAGTGACTAATATCAATGTGTTAATACCGCTGGGGGGGCTAATATTAAAATATGAAGACGTCGGTGACTAATATTAAAGCAATGATATCGAAAAACACCCTTTCTTAAAATGTGACAAATAAGCCAAAAGTGCAACAAGTTTCCATAAAATATGAGGCTATTTTTAACAAATGCGTTGCCAGTTTGGTCACGGCGCTATACGTTTTAATCAAGTATCAATAATAATAAAATACTGGGCTCCACATTCATCGACAGCTACCTCCAGAATCTGAGCGTGATCCTAACAAAGCATCCGCGTGAGACAGAAGCGGGCCCGGCCCACTAATTGCTTTAAATTCTGTGTTCTTGTGGTGGTGTTGGTTGCCGTTGCTCAACTCAAAAGGCTTCACTCATAATTAATTGAAAGGCTTAGTTTCTAAGATTCTACCACAAATAAATCTCGTGCCATTTAAATGTGTGCTTCGTTAAAAAAGTTTTCCACCAAAAAAATGTACTTTCTTGAGAGTTATTGTTGCAAAAGAGAGAGCGTATAAGTGTTTAAAAAAAAATCCAAGCAGCGAAAAAAAATTGCATAAGAATGGAAAAAGATTTAATAAAAGGAGAATATATTATCGAAAGAGAGAGGAATTGCTGCTTAATTTTACAAAGTAACATTCTCCGAACAATAAGGACCTGTTAGTTATTTTACACGAAAACATGTCGAGTTCGTATTTAAGTGTAAATTTGTGACTCATAAGATTTTAGTGCATATATTAAATATGAAAAAAGATTTCAGTGTAAATTGCTATATCAGTCACAAATGCATGCCTTACTTTATTTTTTTTTCACTAATTTATATAATTATCAATTATCAATTTTTTAACTGTTAAAGATGTTTGGAAAATTTGCTTCAAGACCCCAAAATTCAAGTTTTAATGTGCCCTACCCCCTCACATTTTTTTAATGTGCTGCAGCCCTTTTTTTTTGAAAAAACTGTGTTCGGGGCCCTCCATCATGATTCCAGCTCATGATTAGACATGTCAGTTCCTAAAATTCTAGTTTTACCCTTTCTCTTTCTCATGCCAGCTCATGTCGGTGCATCCCAGCTCATGTTAACTGTTATAGATAACATGTTAACTATTATAATTTCATAAATATGTTTTGAGCTCAATGTGTGAACTGTAATAGTTAACATGTTATCTATACATGTTAACTATTATAATTTCATAAATATGTTTTGAGCTCAATGTGTGAAGTGTAATAGTTAACATGTTATCTATAATAGTTAACATATTACATGTAATAGTTAACATGAGGCACACTTTTTTTAAATTAGAGGGGCTGCAACACATTGGGGGAAATTGGGGGGCTGAGGCACATTGAAACTTGAATTTTGGGGCATTGAAGCAAATTTTCCAAGATATTTTAAACTTTTCCATCAAGCTAGTTTTTCAAATCAGTTATTAGCGTGTAAGAAAAGATAAAAGTTCACCCTACAAGATTATTTCCACTCAGATCCACGTGAAAATAACATAACAATCTACTTAACCCTGAGAAATTGCCATGTAAAAAGACGAAAAGGCCCATGTAGTTTCTAACGTCGTAATAGAAAAATACTTGGTTCCGGGGCAATTAACATCAACTTCGAGGGCCAAAGCTGGAGTGAAAGCAACCGCCGCTTAGTTTTTGTCGCAAAGTTCGCTAGATTTTGTCCGATGGATTCGGTCACTGAATCCGTGGAGGATCTTTTCTCTCTGCTTTGAGTGCTCATTTCAGGTACCAAGTTCTACTCTTGCCCCTTTTTCTTATAAATTATTTTATTTATTTATTTATTTGTTTGCGATCTTTTTATACCCATTGAGATAAATGAATGCTGGGTCACTAAGTTCATTATATTTTTTCTTTGAATTCGTTGCGCTAGTAAAACGGTTAATGGGTTCCTTTTGTTTTGGGGATTTTTTTTATTTTTATTTGTTGCCATTTTTGTGCATTTGGTCGATCCGCTACAAGTTTCTCCTTAAGCCAACCATTTTTTTTTTTAATTTCGTTTGTTGAAGATGAAAGTAAAAGGTTGGTGTGTTCATTTATTATTGGAATTTTGGCCAATTTTTATTCATTCGACCACCAAATTTCATCCTTCAAGTAAACAACCTTTTCTTTTATTTCATTAACCAGTCCTTTAATTACATTATTTTCTGGAAAATTTAAGACTTTTTTCACTTGGATTGAGGTTGCAAGTAAAGGATTTTTGGTTTTGGATCTCTTTTAGAAAAAATTCCAGCCCCTTCTGTTTTAATAGCAATAGGGTTTAAGTAGGTATGTTGATAACTCTTCCATGGAAGTCTGAATTTGATATGGATTCTTAACTGAGTAGTGGCTGTGAGCTTTTTTGTCCATTGCTTTGATGAGAAAATAAAATTATCTTCTGGGTTGATTTACTGTAATTTTTTGAATATCTGTGCAGCGTTTTGCTAATTTTTCTTAGCTATTTTTCTCTTGATTTCATATCAGTTAAAAAAAATATGAACATTGACCTATTATCTATTTTAAGATCGTTGTCTTCAAGGCTCATAATTTAGATGATTATATATATTTGGCTGTGCTTACTATGGATTATAACTGATAAATGTCTGATTGTTGTTGAAGTTTCTTTGTTTTTTGCTCTTATTCCCTTCTAAGCTCCTTCCATGTGATTTTGTTTTTTTTATGATCTCCACAAACTAGTAGATCTCAGTTCTACAGGAATTTTATACTCGCCTCGCTATCTCGTTATGTTTTTGTTGACGAGCATTTCATTCCACATAATAATACTGCATCTATTTTCATCTCCCACATTCACTGTGTTGGATGAACATAGTCTTGTATGATCGTTATGATTACAATTTCTGATTTTTTTCACTTATCCATGATATAATTTTACTAATGTTTCGAGCTCAACAGGAACCAAAATGTCAAAAGTTGCTGCACTTCAGTCCAGTTTCCATCTCCTTTTCTTTTTTGTCATTTTTCTGTGCTTGGTAAACACCATATTTTCCGGGGTTACGAGTTCTTTTACACGTTCTGAGTGGCCAGCGGTCGACATCCCTTTGGATAGTAAAGAATTTGCAGTTCCAAACAATCAGAATGCTCCACAGCAGGTTAGCATATAAGATAGTGATTCTTCTTAGCTCTTCATGACAAATGTACCAATATGAGTAGATAATTTAATTAAACTGTACCAGTACTTTTATATGCAAATCATGAAGTTAAAAATAGAGATATTAAGCTTGCAAATCATAACTTATTCTTTTGCAAGGAAATCTCATCCCATTGGATGAAATCCTCTTAATAAGGCTTATAAAGAATCTCCAGCACTATCCAATTAATGATGTCTTCTATAAATTTATGGCAGCAATTAAGTTTTGGTAAGTGTGTGCATATGCCTGATACCCCAGGAAAAATCTTATAGGGTAAGAACTTCTTTGGTATACATCCTAAGCTGAAATTTTTATTTTCTATATCTTACGGGTTTATAGCCTAAGTTTCAAGGCACAGCTAAAGATGCTTTGGATAGTGGGTACAATAGTTTTATTTTGTGATTTTGTTAATCAAATTGTATTCTTTCTGTCTGTTCTATGTGATATCCTAATGAATTCTCATATAATAGAAGTTTCCGGATTGTCTTTCTTCTACATTCTTCATTTTCTTCTTTATAATACTTAACTGCCTAATAAATGATCTGTACATTGACTGGTTTTAATGCTGTCTAGGTGCATATTACTCAAGGTGACTATGATGGGAAAGCTGTTATAGTCTCATGGGTGACAAACACAGGCCCTGGAAGTAGTGAAGTTTTATATGGGAAATCTCAGAATAAATATGATCACGGTGCTCAAGGGAAATCTACTAACTATACATTCTTTGATTATAAATCAGGATACATTCATCATTGCTTACTTGATGGGCTTGAGGTAACATTGTGAATGACACAGCACCTTCAAAGTTCAAACACAGTTATTACTTATTTCAGATGGGTTTTGTTCGCGAATTAATTTTGTTTTGCCTTCAATTGCTAGTTAGCTATCAGTAAATTTTAAAGGTGGTTTGTGTCTATTTGGCCTATTGTAAAGGTGGTTTTCATGAAAAAACCCTAAACAATGTAATCTTTCAGCCCTTGATGGCATGTAATGCTTACTAATTTATGTGATAGGCTATGTTGACATGGGTATCATAAAGGTGAGTAACGCACTGTGTTCTTGATGTTGCCAGCAAGACTTATACTATGCCGGTGATTACCTGAAATATGTGGAAATAATTTCGTATTGTTGTTAATGGAAGAACTGGCTAATAGTAATGATATGATTTTAATTTATTTCACCTGTTTAAAGCGAGTGCATTACTGAGATCAAAATGAGTTTGTTTATTTTCCTATTTTTTCCCCTGTCACGTTTCTTATAAATGTAATTCCCTATTGCAAGTTCACCATCATCCCTCCCAGATTTTTTGGCCAGTTGACGAGAAATTTGGAGGTTTTCAAGGATGAGGTTAAACCGCATAACCCATTTCTATTAACTTGAAAACTTGTCAAAGGTTTAGTTACTTCTTGATGATGTCTAATTTTCGTAAGGTTGGATTTCCTAATACTTAATTGTTCCCTGTGAGCTTATCCATGTGCTAGAGTTGATGAATTATTGTCGAAGAGTATATATGTCATGTTGTGCCTTTCTATAACTTATTTGCTTTTTTCTTGGTTGTTAACTCTCTATTTAGACAGTTGAGTCCATCACTTGTGAATAATATTAATTATACATATATTTGAATGTTTCATGTTCACATTTTATTCCCCTGCATCTATATTGATAAAGGTTCTGCTGACATTTTCCCCCCTTTCTAGCATGACACCAAGTACTACTATAAGATTGGGACCGGTGATTCTGCTCGGGAATTTTGGTTCCAAACACCTCCAGAGATCAATCCAGATGCTCCTTACACATTTGGTATCATAGGTTAGTTTATAATTCTTTTGTTAACTTCTTCTTTGTCAGAATATCGGATTTACTGCAAGGAATATACAATCTTGCATCCGCGGAATCTTAAACTTATATAGCCTTGGAACTTTTGATGATTTATCATGCTGACGTTAATATAGACATCAGAATACTACAGATCTTACTTATGTACAATATGAATAGATATTATATACTTTATCACGTGCTTAGTTTTTCTACATCTTTCTCTTTAATTAATTATTTGATTGCTAGGTGACCTGGGACAAACATACAATTCTCTTTCTACTCTTGAGCATTACATGCAAAGTGGAGGACAGACTGTTCTGTTTGTCGGGGATCTTTCTTATGCTGATCGATATGAATGTAATAATGGTACTCGGTGGGACTCTTGGGGTCGATTTGTTGAGCGCAGTGTTGCATATCAGCCGTGGATTTGGACTGCTGGAAACCATGAAATTGAATATAGACCCGACCTGGTAGTTTTTATGGATTTAGTTTATACATGCTTCCACTGTTAATTCTCTTATATCTTATGGTCTTAGTGATTTCACATGGATATATTGTGTATTGTTTTCCTGCTGTTTATTTGTTAAATTTTTGTTGGAGTATTTTATCCCCGGTGATAAGATTATAGTTAACAGGGGAAAGAGGACTAGAGGTAGACTTACAAAAAACTTGGCTGGAAGCAATTAAGAATGATAATAATAGTTAACTCAACAAAGGAGATGACCATAATAAAACTGAATGGAATAATAAGATTCATGTAACCAACCCAAACAGGTTTCACACTTTTTAGCTCATTGTAAACAAATAAACAAATCTAACAAATCTTCTGAATCAATAGCATATGAATGTTCCAACAAATTCCTAATACCATAGAGAAGGTGGATGGAGAAGCTGGCTTAGCTCTGACCCAAAGGAAAAGTGTTTGGAATATCCCGAGAATATATCACAAAAAAACACTCTCGGTGGGAGTACTAAAGTTGTAATGAAATAAGGGATGATAAAGTTGGAGAACTAAACGATTGATTTCTTCCTTTGGTTATTGTTTATGTTTTTTTTTAGACCTTATTAGGTTTGCTTTAAGAATGCGATGAATGCATGTTTTGATGCAAAACCAGTGATATGGTCTTTATATATGGTATAAAGAGTAATAATAAGACATTATGCATGCTGCTATTGATGTGCTTTTTCCTTGCTTATAGGGGGAGGTTTCTACTTTTAAACCTTTTCTACATAGGCATGCAACCCCTTACGAAGCTTCACAGAGCAGCTCTCCCCTTTGGTATGCAATCAGGCGGGCATCTGCCCATATCATCGTGTTGTCCAGTTATTCTCCATTTGGTAATATACTATTCATTTGTTTATTTCCATACATCTGTCATTATTTCTGCTATAGAATTCATGCTATAGAATTCAAGAAACAAACGATCAGAAATAAATTATGACATTGTTGGTTGTGAATCATAGTGTATTTAGAACCTATAGTTTTTGAATGATACCTATTGGAAAATTATGGAGATGTGGTAGGGGCTTATCATTGTTAGGAATCTTGATCCCAAGATATGTTTATTTTGATGATAACAAATATTATATGTTGTGTGTATTATGTGCTAACTTTTATTTTGTAGTATCAGAGCAAAATCAACAATGATATTCAAAGAGATACTCAAGACATAAGATGAGTTCAAGGCAACAAGAAGTAAAGAAGAAGTGCATAAATGTCACAATATAATTTTTACATTTTCTTTACTTAGAAATATTGTACAAGCCTTGATCACTCACACACATACACACACGTAGTGTTGAGAACACACTAACACATGCTTAGTGTGTATATCTCATTTACACCCCTTAGCAGTTCAAATCTGGAAAAACTTAAAAAATCAAAGTTGTAGGTCTCTTCAACAGTTTTTCAACAAATCTTAAATCACCTCATTCAGAGGTCGGACAGAAAGTTACAGTCAAAATACTAAAAACAGAATTTCCGAATCTGTGAGTTTACAGTGTAGTCGACTACTAAGCAATTTTCTGACTTCACAGTCTGTTTAGACTCAGTGTAGTCGACTACTATGAGTAGTCGACTACTAAGCAATTTTCTGACTTCACAGTCTGTTTAGACTCAGTGTAGTCGACTACTATGACTTGTAGTCGACTACAATTTTCTGACTTCACAGTCTGTTTAGACTCAGTGTAGTCGACTACTATGACTTGTAGTCGACTACAGATACAATTTTTTTAGATTTTAGGTTTTGAATTACTGACTGTTTATAGCCGTTTTGATCCGTTAATTAACTTTGAAAACTTATCTTTTCAAGGGCTATAAATAGAGTAAAATGTCAAAAAAAAAAAAACAATAAATAAGACTTATACTCATAAGATCAAACATTTGTGCATTTATAAGTGTTCTAAAATTCAGATTTTGCTTAAGAGTTAGAATTCTGAAATGACCTATGTTCTTGATCATTTTCTACTAAGTGTTTAGGCAAATTTCAAAGAGTAAAACCTATAGCCACAGTGAGAAACACATTGATATCACATTCAAGGCTTATAGGATTGGAATTGTACTTTGATTCAAGGAAGGTTCTCTCAGGTTTGAGAGAGTTGATCTCTTGGTCTAGAGATCGGTGTGATGATTGACATGGTCTTGTCAATTGGGTTACAATTTGCATGGTCTTACAAATTGGTCTTTTGATTTTGTAAGTTTCAAAATCATAGTGGAAATCTCAAGAGGGATTTGCTTGGGGACTGAATGTACACCGGGGAGGTAGAACCAGTATACATGCTTGTGTTTGTGATGTTTATTTTTTGAGATTGTTGTCATTCTTTCTTGCAATTTATAATCTACTTTGCAAACTCTTTAACAAGGCTCTCTAATGTTTTATTTTAAGCTTCCGCAGATTCTTCTCTTTGTATAAGAGAGCGCAACCCTACAATTATCATAAGTCAGATCCTACAATCATCATTATATCATTATAAAGGAATAATTTCCAAATATAAATTTAAACATTATTAAAAGAATCAAAATCTTTTATCACTTAGAAGTATCTCTTTAATCAACTAAGATCGTATTCATAAACTATAGAATATTAAATCAAATAAATACACTTTAATATTCAATGAATATTTGAAGTAATTTCCACTGGAGTTCAATTAATCTGAAGCTTTAAATGGATACAAATATGAAGACCTGATATTTGAAGTAATTTCCACTGGAGTTCAATTAATCTGAAGCTTTAAATGGATACAAATATGAAGACCTGAATTTTGATTCAAGTTGATCCATTTTCAAATTAATCTGAAGCTTTAAATGGATACAAATATGAAGACCTGAATTTTGATTCAAGTTGATCCATTTTCAACCCTGCCTATTTGCTAATGTAAGGAAGCTATCACATACTACTACTTTGTAATTCTATTTGTTCTTCATAAACACTAGGTATCTGAATATGTTACTGTCTTCTCCATGTTGTTCCTGCTAAAAATCTCATCTGTTGCCGATGTTGTATATGAAGTTATGTTCATATTTATGAACATATTTTACTGCTTTATGGTTTTTTTGGTTTTTGTTATGTATTGAAATTAATAGATTCTCAATCTTAAACAGTTGTGTACACTCCCCAGTGGCATTGGCTACGTGATGAGCTGAAGCGAGTAGACAGGGAGAAAACACCTTGGCTCATTGTTCTGATGCATGCCCCGTTATACAACAGCAATGAAGGACATTATATGGAGGGTGAGAGCATGAGGGTTGCTTTTGAGAGTTGGTTTGTTCATTATAAAGTTGATGTCATCTTTGCTGGACACGTGCATGCCTATGAAAGATCGGTAATTTTTTCACAACTAACTATAATATCACATTAATCCATATATCAACTATATTCTTCATGCTTGACCAACATGTATAATCCCAGGAACTAATTAAGATTTTTTTCAATTGCAGTACCGAATCTCCAACATAAACTACAATATAACATCTGGTTCCCGCTATCCTGTTCCAGACAAATCAGCCCCTGTATATATAACTGTCGGTGATGGAGGAAATCAAGAAGGTCTAGCTGTAAGGTAACATGAGAATTTACAGAGAATCAAGCTAGTCATTAAGCAAATCACTTTTGGAATTTAATTGATTTTTTTACATGTAGGTTTTCTGAAGTCCAACCAGATTATTCTGCATTTAGAGAGGCCAGTTATGGACATTCAACTTTGGAATTGAAGAACAGAACACATGCTTTCTACCGGTGGAACCGAAATGATGATGGGAAGCAAGTTCCTACTGATAATGTTATTTTTCACAATCAGTACTGGTGAGTGAAGCATATAGAACCTTTGTCTTTTTTTGGGTTCCTATTGGTTTTTTCAAAATAAGCTCCAACTAAATCCTTACGTAACAGCGTGCATATCACATAAAAAGGGGTTAATTGCAGATAAACACTATACTATGGGGGTATAGCCACTTGTACACTCTAAACTATTTATTAGCAAATATGTAGCATTTCTTCCATTTGGTTGAGATGGCATGTGGATCACATGACCATAATTACCTTTGCACTCACTTTAGCTGAAAAAGACCTAAATTTTCCATCCAGATTGAGGGCAAAGAAATAATAATAATAATGTTGTCTGAGGTTGTGTATGTGTGCGTGTTTTGTGTTTTTTTTAATTGTCTTCTCTACCCTGAAAATTAGTGAGAGAGTTAATGACTTAATGCACCTTCAGATTTTGATTCAGAATACCACAAGCTATGTTACTTGGACACTTCATCTAGTCTCCGGTATCCATGCTGTGCTCCCGTGTCCGATACTTCTTATACACTTCTTGAATGTATACATACATTTATTGATACGTGTACTCAATTTTTAAACCATACTTTAATTCAAAAAACTCGTGATACACTTCTTGAAGATATATTGCGCACTTCACCTCTATTTTACGCATCTCATTGAACTCGGGATAGGTTCGTTTTAGCACATACCTTGTTCATAAGTACGATTTTAAAGGGGGTATGTTCATAAGTACGATTTTAAAGGGTTTCTTGGGTATCTAGTTCAAAAACAAGGGGATTTTTAATTTAATAATCTACTCGATTAAAGAAACATAAAAAGAATATAAGGATTTTAGTTTTCATAACATGTGAATGAAAAACAATATTGACCTCATATAAATTATTAATCATAATATGTATGTTTATAGTTGTGTCCTCATATCCTAACTTTTACGATTTTGTCATGTCCCGTATCAACACCAGTGTTCATGTCTGTGTCCGCTCTCGTATCCGTGCAACATAGACCACATGAATAGCGGTATATAATGGGAAGAATTAAAGAATTGCTACAGATGAATAACTTCTTCTTCTTCTTCTTCTTCTTCTTGGCTTGACAAGGTAACTTCCCCACATCCTTTGGACCATGGGCATCAAACCCCATGCGTGTTTAAGGGGCATCACCAACACATGGCCTCGGGTATTCTAGGAAATTAATTTCCTATGGGTGCTTCCCAAGAGTGTTAAACTTGAGCCCTTAACCTACTATTTATAGGCAGCTTACCAACTCGGGTAGACCCTCTTGAGTAAAGATGAATAACTTCATACAAATGATACTCACGATTTATTTGAGTATCAGCTTTTTTATTTTTTACTTTTGCATAGCTTTGTTTTCATAAGTTAGAGTTCAGTCTTATCAACTGTCAGCTGCAAGAAACAAGTCTTTTTCTTATGCATTGATTGGTCACAAAATCCTAGGGATAATCTAGAAGTTAATTGCTTTTCTTTGTGCTTAATATACTTTATGTACAGATTAGATAAGTGATGTTCCTTAACATATTTAAGAAATACTCTTTAGAAGAAATTAATGTCGCACACCCACCTACCCACCTCCCCCCCACCTCCCCCGGTGCAAGTGGCCTAGTGGTTGGGGCTTGGGGCCCTGTCACAGAAGATCAATGGTCGATCCGTGTTTATGACATTGTAGGCGTCAAAAAATGCTAATAGATATCCAAACATAGAGAAGATCATCCAAAAGTCACAAGAATGAACCTCATACTGTCTTAGAAAAGAAATCAAGGCAGATATGAACTGTCTCGCCAGCGAGGACAGTGTTTACTGTCTCGCAGCGAGACAGTGTTTACTGTCTCGCCAGCGAGACAGCTTTGAAATGGTCAGAAACCACCTTAATAACCACCGCACACGTGTCCATTAACTGCCAAAGGACGTGGAAAACATTGTGGGCGAAAATCACGTAAACAACTGCCAAAAAACTGCCAAAATAACAGAGTTTGAAACGTGGGAAGGCAGTTACAGCAAAAACTGCCTGGCAGTTAGATTTTCCGAGATAGTATTTACTGTCTCGGAGGCCGAGACAACAAACACTGTCTCGGCCGCCGAGACAGTAAACACTGTCTCGCAGCCTTAACGTGTTTGTTTTGTTGTGTTTTTTAGTTATGTGTCCCAGAGGCTATAAATACCCCCTAGGGTCATTACTGACGAGGATCGAACATTTTATCGAGTGATTCAGAGCAGAGAGAGCAGACAAAACAGTTCTTTGTGTGATTCCTTGAGATTCGAGCTTTGTCTTGATCTTAAGAAGAACGATCGTCTTACTTTGATAAGATCTTCGTTTCAAATTCTCACTTCGATAAACGAAGGAAGAATCATTAAACCCCTCACGATCTGTGATTTGGTGGTCCACAAGTCAAAGCGCTCCCGGCACAGGCAAAGTCCCACAAAGCAAAAGTCGATAAACGATTTTTGTGTTATTTTCCAAGAGAGTTGTAATTTTCTTAATTTTTCATTGTAATTTTCTGTAAACAATTTAAGTTTTAATGGAATCATCAATGAAAATAACTTTTGACGAAAACAAACTGGCGACCATAGTGGGAGCCAGCGGCCTCGCTGCCGAGGCCGCAGTGTCGCAACCGATCAAGATCATAGTCACTGAAGAGATCGAATATGAGTTCGATCAGGCAAAATTCGAGGAGTACCTGTCATCCTCATCTTCAAAATCTTCCTCGCCTCGCAAGTGCAGGAGGATTTCCTCTTCCAAGAAAATTCCCAAGTCTTCAATTCCGATGAAGACCGCAGGTGAAGGTTCTTACCCAACTGTTGCTAAGGAATCTACCTGCAACATCTCTACTCCAAGTGACTTCGTACCAGTTAAGGAGTCGTTGAATCATAGCTCACCGGTGCTGACGAAGAGAGCTCGTCAGAGACAGCGCCAACGCCGTGCTCGACAATTGGCTAAGACCATGCAACAAACCGACGGGGTCCATTATTATGCGGACCTAGAGTCGAGAAAGCATAAAGTGGTTCAGTTGCCTCAACGGCAAAATAATCATATTTCTGCACAACTTACGACGGAGGAATGAACCCTCGTCAAAAGGGCTCGTTCAACCCTTAAGGAACGTATACAAAGGCGTCAAGTGAAGGCCGCCCGTGCTCGCGCCCTTCGTCAACAAACGCAAGGAATCAAGAAGGAAGTGGTGTCTGAAAAACCACCAAAGAATCGTAAAGTTTGGGTTCCGAAGACGCCGCAAACATCCGTTCCGGGCCCGTCTACTGCATCACCAGTGAAACCCTGGGTCAGTCACGATTTGTCAAAGTTTAAAGTCACAATGGCGGATCGCCTCGGTCCTTTGGCTAACGATCGAGGCAAAACTCCAATCAAAGAGCACTCGAACCCAGCAAATAAACCCTTACTGGTTTCCTACGCAGGGGGTCGTAAATATCCGCCCGTCAGAACTACACAAGTCCAAAACGAGAAAACATCAATTCATTCTCGTTTAGGACCAATGAAGACTCCACTCCCGCAAAAGGGTGGATTTAAAAATTCAACCTTGGATCGCCCAGGGGCAACGACTAGTCGTCCTGTGCATGTTAACAAGCTTCAAACACAAGAGATAGGTTGCTCAAATCACAATAACGATGAGCTGTACTATCAGAAAAATAACCCAAGAAAAAGAATTGTACGAGAAAACGAGTCTCACTGCTCCTGTGAGAGACTCATTAAGGCAGTGCTGACAGAATGCAGATGCTCTAAAACTAATTCAACAAGAGTCTTCGTATTTCAAAGACTTTCCACTGAAGCGTCAAGACCCAAAATGAGGCGTTTCAACAAGAAGAAACCTGTAATTCGACAAGATGAATTCCTTGAGGTCACTATTAACATGACCGGCAGAGGAAAGTAATAATTAGTCAACCATGATCCTGATTTCTCTCCGGAAGGGAGAGTTAAGCGGGGTCTATCTCAAAGAATGTCACGGTTACAAAGAAGAGCCAGACGACGTCGAGACTACAAGAGAATGCACAAGAGGTTATCTTCAGAGGAGGAACTGTCAGATACTTGTTCTGCTGTTACGTCGAATGATACCATGTCCAGTGTTGGACGAGTCAGAGAATCATTCGTGATCACGCCAGATCAATTGGCTCAAATACTGCATGAAGCGTTAGCTAAACAACGCGAGGAAATTAGAGCCGAAATCAAAACCGAGATGGAATTGACGATGCAGCAGATTTGAGATTTGCAAGCTCAACAACATCAACCGGAATCGAGCCAAAAGGCGGAATCCAGCAAGCGTAACGCCAGGCCTGTACGTACAACTGAAGACGATGACGAAGAAGACGAGACTATCTTTGCTGATCCTCCTCCTGATAAAGATAATTCTGGAAGCGGCCCGGCCAAATCATCTACTCAACCTCCTCAAATTTACTTGAAGAAGAGTGAGGAAGAGGACAAAAAGATGCAGGACCTTGAGAGCAAAGTCAATGCTCTAATGACGGCCCAAGAAGTGAAGAAAACGGGCATTCCATACCTGTACCCAAGGGAGTGTGATCTGATTCCTTATCCCCCAAAATTTAATTTGATTAACTTTACTCCTTTTGATGGCAGGGGTTCACCCACTCAGCACTTGATTTATTTCAAGTCGCATCTCGGCGCAATATCCGAAAACGAAGCCTTGATGGTCCGGTCATTCGTAGGAACCCTTCGCGGGCTTGCCTTCGATTGGTACCGACGTCTCAAACCCGGGAGTATTACTAGCTGGGAAGATATGGAAGGATTGTTCCTCACCAATTTCTTCGACGACGACACGGAGGTCTCAATTAGCACCTTGTTGGATGAGAAGCAGAAGGATGGGGAGTCGATTGATGTTTTCGTCAAACGATTCCAGAACAAAACAGTGAATTGCCGAGATCCACTCACAGAAGAGTTCATCCTACAGACATGTCACAATAACTTGTCATTGGAGAGTTCATCCTACAGACATGTCACAATAACTTGTCATTGGATGTATTAGAGGTAATGGGGGTTGTGCC